TCCCCCCCCCCCCCAAACCCCTCACACACACACACTCATACACACACGCATGTGCGTGCTCGCACACATTAAAAGCCATCTCCAAAAATCTATGGACCACTGAACAATGAAAACGTAACATTAAGCTAGATATCTATAATAGTCAAGTGCAAACAGCTAAGACACCTAACGTGCAACAGGATTTCACAGCCGTCAAAGTTCAAAGCTGTGAGTCGCAGACATCACATGTGCCGCCAATTTAAGTGTTGTTCCCCAACACGTCATGATTAATTTCATCATTACGCTTACCATCTGCTAGGCCCAATGTAATATTCATGACCTTTAGCCTTGCTTGGCCTAGAAACCCTGTAACCCACAGTTTGTCATGTCAGATCAGGGGAATAACTACATTTTAGGCTACTCCCTTTTAACCCAAAGAAAGAGGTCAACTAACAAAAACATACAGTAGAACGCGGCTATAGCGGGACTTTTGGCTCCAGAAGAAAAATCCCGCTGTAGGTGAGTTCCCGTAATAGGAATGCAAAGGGGAAATGACTGAAAAATTCCTAGATATACATCTACATCATTACTACCCTTCCATATGAATAAAATTTGCGCTTTATATATAAGTCTTCCTATTATTGCCAACTTCGTTGATTATCTCGGCCTTTAATTCGAGTGAGAAGCAATTCCTAGAGTCTTTGTTGGAAGCCATCTTTTTCTCGGTTTGTTGCTTGTGCCTACAGTAGAAGTGGCGAAGAGGATGCGCGAATATGCCTGAGTATGTAGGCTATATCGACGACCGCATTTCAATGAATAAGAAATCACACACTACACGCTCTCCTCTTCTTATATAGGCTATGGCCTATACGTTCTTATATGGTACTGAGCGTCTAGGCTATGGCTCATCATTTAAAATTTTGAAGTTGCTCACGTAACGTGTCTCTCCGCACCATTTCTTTCTGCCGCCTGCCCCACCTCACTCATCACTGGACTGGCCAATCACAACGCCGCACCGCTGACTGCCTGTTTGGATCCCGCCTACAACCCCCCATCCCCCTTCCCTACAGCTAGAGCTTGCTTGATCTCTCCAGCTGTATCCAAGTTCGGGCCTTTCCTTGCTCTGTTAAACCAGAGTACAGGTAATTGAGTTTGCATCGGGAATCCGGTAAGGTCCCGCTGCAGCAGGTGCCACTACAGTTATACTCTACTGTATAGATCTACATAATTTTTTAGAGTGGTTCACGTAACACATCTTTCCGCACCATTTCTCTCCCTCTTTGCCTACCGCCTACCCCCCCCACCTCCTTCCCCTCACTCATCACTGGACTAGTCTAGCCAGTCACAACGCTGCACCGCTGACTGCCTGTTTGGAGCCGGCATACAGCCCCCCCTACCCCCAGATAGAGCTCGCTCGATCTCTCCCGCTGTATCCGAGTTTGGAACTTTCCTTGCTCCGCTACATCCAAGCATAAATAATTGAGTTTTTATAAGGAAAAAAAGGGGATTCCGGTAAGGTCCCGCTATATAGTCATGTTCTACTGTATCTGGCAACAACCCCAAGGTTTGAAGGCTAAGTCAATAAGTCTAATAACAAGGGAAACAACCTCTCCTAAACGGGTTTTATGAAAGAGTCCGATCCGTTTGTGTAAATGGGTTTAGAAAGAGACGTATGCCTCGATTACGAACCAACGCAGGCGCTTCTAGAAGAAGGCCACAAACGCACACAAACTTAAGCAGACTGACGCACACACACTTGACCTGCGTGAATGGGGATCCGACTCGGGACCCGAATGACACGTAAGAAGATGCGCGCTGCGTGTGCGCTGAGCCAGGAGCTACACTGATTCGGGACCAGAACGTAGGCGAGGTGTCGAAATAGGCTTATTGGGCTACATAAACCCGGCGCCCGCAGGATGAGGGTTAAAATTTGGCCACCTCTATTCTCACCCGGAGTGAGAATAGTGCAGGCGAGTCTTGTGGCCATTCTCACCCGGTGCGCGTTCACCCTAAACCACAGAATTCTACACTGTGATAACAGAAAAATTGTAGAATTCTGTGCCGTGAACAAACGTTCCATTACAACTGTAGCCTACTAAAAGCGTACAATTTTGTCTGTGGGCAGTGGAGAGAGAGAGAGAGAAAGAGAGAGGAGTAGCGCGAGAATTTCGGGGCAAAACAAAATGGCGACCCACGTAGTTCGGCTCGATTTGAAAAGTTAAATAAATAGCCGTAGCATCTTTGTAGACAACCAAATTAATTTACTTTTGTGTTTTAACATCATTTTTTAACTTTGTTTTGGTCAATTTGATCGTCCACACCGATAGACAGTATTCAGAAAGAGACAGAGAGAGAGAGAAGAGGGGAGGAGTTGATCTTGCGAGAACTTCCGGGCGGGTGAAAATAGCCACTTTCTTAAAATTTACTTTTGACTTTGTGTTTTAACATCATTTTTAATCTTTGTTTAATTTGATCGTCCACACAGATAGACAGTATTCAGAAAGAGACAGACAGATCTAGAGAGAGAGGAGGAGTAGATATTGCGAGAACTTCCGGGCAAAACAAAATGGCGACCCGCGTAGTTCGGCTCAATTCAAAAAGTGAAATAGCCATAATGATAGCATCTTTCTTGTAGACGACCAAATTAGCTTTTTTATATTTTTTCTTTGCTTTTTGGCAATTTGATCATCCACATTGGTTAGACAGTATTCCAAAATTAGGAAAAACAGGTCTTGTTTCACAGCGGGTGAGAATAGCGAACGCTGGCAAGTCTCACCCGGGGTGAGAGTTCGATCGTATTTTTATTCTCACCTCAAGCGTGAGGATAGCCACTTCCTACTACTATGAAAGCAGTCTAAAATCACATTTATTTGACATGGATCTACATCTAGATCTAGAAAAATCTAGAGATCTATATAGATCTAGAATCTAGATCTAGATTAGATAAACTTTGCAAACGTTCCACATAATACCTCTGAATCCTGAACCAGTTGGGACAGTTTCAACACACCAGCATTCCTCTGCTCATCGGTGCCATCAGATAGAGCCCAGAAGACATCTAAATATGCCTGCTGGGGTCTAAAAGATGCACCACTGGCACCTTCTGAAGACTTCGCAGGCATGGCTCAAACTAGATCCAAATATATAAGATATGAGCATTTAATTATACAACGAAGAAATTAGCAACTCTGTCAGAAGACCAGAGTTCAGAACCGTTCAGAAACTAAACATGTGGTTTTGTTGACATCGTTGGCGGAAGTTCATAGTTCGTTAAAAAGTTGGATAGTTTTTCTACACTTTCTCATTCAACTTGTATTATAATGTATTCTGAGAAAAGTGACTTAGGCCTAGCAGTACATTGAAATACATTGGTATATGTAATTTCTTGATGAATGCAAAAGAAAACCCCAGAGGAAAAACGGCATTAGTCGCCAGAAAAATATTGAGGCTTTTATTTCACGGGTTTATGGATTTTCGCCGTCTTTTTTTTTTTACGTGTGCGATATGGTTTTCAAATGGGCTGATGTTAGGGGACCGTACGCCCCCATAGTGTTTGGCGCTAGGGGACCGTATGTTCTACCTGTGCTAAGGTGTGGTGTTACGGGACCGTACGCAGATATGCATGCATCTGGACTTTGCAAAAAATACTGGAGGAAAATGGCCAGTTTAATGAAGCTCCTGACGTAAGGAGTTATTACTAGGAGAATGTTTAAAATGTCTGAATACGATTGTGAGGTATCTAGTGGCCGTGGGTGAACCAAAATTTGAAATTTGCTCACGTCTGCACCCACATTGTTTGTTATGTGCCAATAAAAGAAATCAAAGAGAGGGAGGGGGAGGGGAGAGAGAGAGAGGGGGGGGGGGAGAGACAGAGAGGGGGGAAGAGAGAGAGAGAGAGAGAGAGAGAGAGAGAGAGAGAGAGAGAGAGAGAGAGAGAAAAGAGAGAGAGAGAGAGAGAGAGAGAGAGAGAGAGAGAGAGAGAGAGAGAGAGGGGGGGGGGTGAAGGCAAGAATTTTCTTGGAACAGGGGGGCGCACCATGGGGGCGGGGGGATAATTATGCTTTTAAAGCGGGAGAGGAACCTTTTTCAGGTAACCCCCTTGGGGGAATTTATTTAAAAGGACCCATTAAAGTCCTTAGATTCCCCCCTCCCGCCTTCTTTGCGGCAAAAAATACACGGCGCAACTTTATGGGGAAATCTTTTTTCCTATTAAAAAAGGGCTCTAACCTTTGAACAGTTATATAAACTTTAAAACAAATTATTTGTAAATAGGAAATATTGTCCCATCTCCTCCTTCCCTGTTTCCCCCAAAAAGCCTAATTAGTATAAAACAAAAACCCCCACCCGATTGGTTCCCTCCATATTCGAA